CATTGGTTTCTGTTTAAACAGCGTAAAATTTGCAAACCACCCCGATTTTTTGTGTAAATTTTGCTTTCTTCAATACTTTGCTTACTTTACCAGAAAGTGACACGTATAGGAGTCTTTGCTAGGCTTCAACTTCCACTTTATCTTTTTTCCCTTCTTTCTCAAATACATTCTCTCTTTTTCAGCCCATAATTAGACTGATTTCTTGTTGTTCCCTTTACACAATAACGAAAATTGAATGAAATGGTTAACAATTTTAATCATTCTTTTCCTTTTCAACTTCATCTCTTCTTCCTTAAATAATATGTGTTTTTTTTTTTTTTTTTTTCCTTCTTACAGCCATAAGAAAAGAAAATGTTGGGTGAAAATTAAATCGAAATTTGAATACTGAGTCTAACCAGAGATTTAGTTTATATAGAAGTCGATCGTTTCAATTTTAATCGTGAAATTTATAATCAATACGGGAAAGAGTTGATCCCATCTTTTAATGTACCAATTACCGCTTTAAAAAGAAAAAAATACACCTTATATTGTTACTTTGCTTCTGCTTTTATCCGCTTAGTAAATTGTTTCTTTTGAGCCACTTTCAGATTACTCCGCAATTGGCCCTTATCCGTTTTTAGGAAACGATTTCAGCAATAGCTCTTCAGTCGATTGCTTACTCATCCATTTGGAGACTAGAACTGAAGAATTGAGCTAGGCGCTAAAGTGAGATGAAAAGGAGTGCTTTACATACTTACAACAGCTGTTTGTCGAGAAGAGATGCCAAGATTGAAGTGTTCATAAACAAAGGTACGAACAATCCCGCATGCTGCGCCTTATTCTTTTTTCTTTAAAACAACGTTTTTTTAATCCCACAATTGATTAATAATCCTTCCCATTCACTTTTTTTTTTCAATCACAAAAAATTCTCAACCAAGCTAAGTTTTTTTTTTTTTAATTTTGCCGACAGTTTGAAAAACTTATGTGAGATGATTATACAAATCAGTGTTCGTTTAGAGTAAAGCCATGTTGTGATTTTAAAAACGTTACCGTTGCAGAATTTTAATACTATTAACTTCTAACAGTGTTTTTGCAATAGACCAACTGCTCAAAAGAATAAATCCTACAAAGATGACTCAATAGGTGACAAGGTCAGGATAAGCTAACGAAATAACTCTTGCTAAAAAACTTGTCTTGCCTCAGCCATTATATACATCAAACTCTCGATACTTGTGCCGTTATTTTATTCATTGCCATCATTCTATGTATTATTTTCTTGATGTGTTAATTCGTTAATAAGGTCAATAATTTTAGCTTATACAATTTGTAAAAAAAATCAGCGTTCAAAATATGATATTCAGACTAAGTAAATTTAACATTTCAATGGCTAACTCACTGTGGTTTAAAATCCAGTCAGTTGTTGAATTGATAGCATTTCTGCGAAGTATTTATACAACTTCGAAAATCATTATTTCATAATGTCATAAGAAATGTAAAACATTTGTTGTGGAGTGATTTATTACTTTAATTCTATGAACTTTATCCAACTTTCTTATTATTGTTATTTTGTTTAAAAGAAAAAAAAAGAAAAATTTAAATCGATCGAATTTGGCAAACTCTCGAACTGAGTAATAAATCTCGATTGTACAGCTAGAATTTACCCTCGCTGATACCCTTCAGTTTTACAAGCACTTACGTAGTGAACATAAAATCCAAACACATGGGTAGATATGAAAGCGATGGGAAAAACGGGGCTCTGTGATTTTATTGACTAAATTTGTCTTTTTTTATACTATATTCAGTCATCTGTTTGTTTTTTTTTTCTGCAGAATTTTTTTCTTATTTTTTTTTTTCTTTTTTTCTTTGCTCTGCCGAATTTCTTATTTTAGAAGTCAGTTTTTTTACAACTCTTGATTTAAACAAAAGTTTCACTAAACCAACACATAAAAGGAGTATAAATTATGCTCTAAAAGGTGAAATTCAGCTTGAATTCATAAACAAAATTTCTCTTTTCAAATATTAGAATATCCATTATTTTTTGATATCCATTACGGAAACATTTTTTAATATTTCGATCGCCTGTTATCGCTGTCTTATTGCAAAAAATTATGGTTAGAATGAATACCTAAGTACTGATTTGATAAAAATCTCTGTGCTAGCTTCCTTCATCCCGCAAAAAAAAAAAAAAAGAAAAACCATACTTTTTTTTTTCGAATCACTGATAAAAGAGACGGTCTTTGCTATGAACAGTTCCTGAACACTCATTAATTTTGAACAAATATCATTAAACTTTGATGTTAAAACAACATTTCAACTTAGATAAATTCAAAACGGTGCACATTTCAAGTTCTAAAGGACAGATTTAATAATGAGCAATTCTTGAAATTTATTTTCAAATATATAAAGAAAAGGGTTTGGTAATAGAAGTTTCTAAGCCTAACTCTCACTAAAATATCTAAATGTATCGTTTTTGCAGGTAATCTCTTCACCATTATTTGATATCGTGTCACAGCAATTCAAACGTTTAATGCTTTAAAATGCAAAGAAATTTTAGTATTTGGTTTTTTCACTGTTTTGAAGTTAATTTTACTAATTTTTTTTTTTTTTTTTGAAAAAGCATTGGTTTTTGAAATGAATTTGTATCAGAAATCACAATTAAGAATTTTAGTCGATTAATCTTGAGTCGATTCTTAGTTCTCTAATGCTATTCTTGAGATTTATAAATTCTTGGGGTCCTTGTTACCACGTTTTTCCAGCAAATGTAGTGAGTTAATAGATAATGCAGTTATCAATGGTAATTCGCCTATCTGAACTTGGTAAATACTCAAATATGAGCTATAGGACAAAGTTACATATTTGTGTTGTACTTTTCAGTACTTCTCGATAAACACATTTGCCTCTCATCGCTCTTTCTTTCCCACTTCTCCCGTGTTGCTTTAATTAGTGCTCATTAAAAAAACATGTAAAACTGGTAAGAATGATCGGATAAAGTTTAGGTCAGAAATCAGCTAACTGAATGACTAAGAATTTTGATATGTTCTGATTTTTTAATATTTCTTTTCCATATTTCGCACCCAATCACTTTCACATATTACCTGACTTTGCTACATTGTCTAACAAAAGCATTGATAACTGATAGTGGAGAAGAAGGAAGAGAGCGTACTAGACAATTTAGGTTGATATCAACTTTCTATGCAAACGTTTCATTTACAATATAGATTTGACTCAAACTTTTGTTGAGTAGCTTTTTTGCATAATTTATTAAGTTGTTAAGAAGTGATCACCTAATTGAGCTTCAAGTCAGCGATAAAGAGCTAACTGCTTGTGCAAGCTACATTGAGTAGTAGATTAATAAGTAAGTCGAATTGGTTTATAGTCTTGCAAGCCATTAGTAAATATTTACTGAACACAATGTGATGTATGTTGTTCTGGTTGATCTGCTGTCATATGCATGCTGCATGCACTGTTATTTGATATGAAATGTTTGAGGATGATAATGTGCCTTCTTGATTTTGAAATCCAAAAGAACAAATAGATTTTAAATTAGTTGAATTTTTTTAAATGCTATTTCTATTCTGCATTGGAAATGAAAATAAGCGTTGTTAACGCGCCCGTTATTTCCGTAATGCTCTATTTACAAATGATTGGTGAATTGCCAGAACAAAATCTCAGATTGCCATACTGAAGTAATTGAATTCGATATTAGGCTTCATTGAAGGCAGTTGACTGCACTTAAAATTACTGATCAAAATTTCCCAATTAAGATATATGGAGATTTATATATTTTTTTTCCATTTCTAATTTTCCATTTCATTTTTCAATTTTCATAAATGATTACTGCCTAAAATTCGTTTCGCAATTATTACAGCTCGAAATGAGATCTGAATTTATGAAATTAATCGATAGTAGATTAAGTTTCCACTCTGCAAGAATAACGTTACTTAGTTTCTCTACTTACTCTATTTCGTGATGTTCAGAAATAGATGAACTAGTTCCCTGAATCATTTATCAGAGCCAATTTAAGTTAACAATCTCGGGATTTCAAGGATGACTAATTTCTTATTAGATTTTTATCAACTTCACAAAATCGTTGTGAAAGTACAAATACAGATCTAATTTGTTTTAAATTTCTTTTTTATCTTACTTGAAATTCTCACCAGCTATTTTTAAATCTTTCGAAATAAATTCTAATAGTTGTTATTATAACAAAAATGGCTTAGCAGGTAAAACGTATGAATACTTGGCCAGGATTTTAATCCTTGCAAAGAAAAAACCGGATTTATGACTTTTTGCAAATCGAAACTCGTTTATCTCAAAACTGATTTTTTATGTAATACATTCCTCTAATTACTAATTAAAAATATTTACTCTATCACATAAAATCACTTCCAGAAAATTTTTTTCGACAATTATTTGCTTTGAGAGGCGATGTTCCAAATTCGTTCCAAACTTAGGTTTTCACCGTATTGCGTAGAATGTCTCTAATGGAAAAAAGTAAGCTGAAGAGTTAATATATTCAATCAAAATTCTTCCGAGTTAGTTTTCTGATGCAAACCGTTCTTGTTAAAAGTTGTATTTGCATAGATCATATTCCTTCAAGGCATAAATCATATTAGAAAGTCCTTTAGTTTTATTAAGCGAAATTTCAAGGACTGCGTACTGTTTCAGCAAAATGGAATCGCACTGCTTAACACATATGTCTATTACCTCGTTTAAAACAAAAAAATTAGGTGGGGTCATTGTTATCAAAATGTTACTCTATCGACGCCTTATAAGAATGACTTTCGTGAGTTCGCCACCTGAAGCTTTCAATCCATCGTCACACACCTACATTATCACACCTTCTTTTCTTATTTTACAAATTTTAAGTTCATTTCATGGTCAAGTTCTCTTCAAGTTGACACATGTCTCGTCAGTTGCACAAAAAAAAAAAAACAAGTCACTTATAAATTGTTATCATTTTATCAGTGAAAATATTGCAGTTTACGAATGTTTCAAATCATTGCTTTAGCTATTTCAGCATGTTGTGCCGCAGATTACAAGATCTAACTTATTGTATATCATATAATGTCAATTTTTTAAACGATAAAGGTTTACTTTCTTTAAATCTTTTAACACTCAGATTTTTTCGTTTGTTAACATGGAATGAGAAATTTTCTATCCTTTCCATAAAGACCTTTAAAAAACTTACCATTGGGATTAAATATAAACATAATTCAAACCAAGCAACTTTTTATTTTAGAAATAAAAAGGCTGAAGCCCACATATTTTATTTTAAAAAATGACTAAAGTTTTTCATTGCAGCACACGGAGCAAAGCAATTCCGGAAGAGGTACACAGTGCTGGAGGAGCTTGGCCGGGGTGGATTTGGGATTGTTTACAAAGCGGAACGTAATGAAGATAACGCTGCAGTGGCTGTTAAATTCATTGAACATAAACGAGTTAGAGAATGGACTATGGTCAGTTCCAAATTGCAAACTTGAACTACTGGCCAAGTTTGCAATTAACTGCGTATTAGCAGTTAGATTACTGCGAAAAACTGTTTTGTTTTTTACTATTTTTTTTGGTTATTCAATACAAAAATGTTGCTTTTGTTACAGAAATGTAAGCAGTTAATTCCAACAGAAATTTGCTTACTGGATATGTGTCGTAGTGTCCCGGGCGTAGTTCAGCTAATTGATTGGTTTGCCAAGTACGGTATTTCTTATGCATCTCATCTCTAAATCTCGAAGTAAATTGTATAAGTTTGTGAATAATTTCGAATTTAAAAAAAACACTGTCTCATAGTTCTTCGAAGTCGAAAATTATTTTAAAAAATTTTTAAATTTCTTAATGTCGGGTGCATTATTATCATATTTATCTTAACATATTTTCGTGAATAGTTTATGTTTAAAAAGTGGTGAGCAAATTACTTATTATAAAGACTTAGTTATAAAAGATATTTAAATTGTAAAGCATAATTTAAATTTAATGACAATTTGAATCACTTCGTGCTTCAGCATCAAAGTATTATTCTCCACACGCAATGATTAATGAAAAATACACTAGCTTCATTAACAGTCTCTGCATTGCAGTTCGAAAGGATTTCTGGTAGTAATGGAGCGGCCGGAACAGTGTTTGGATTTGTTCGATCTAATTTCAGTTTATGGTTATTTGGATGAAGATATTGCACGATCGATATTTGTGCAGATATTGAATACAACTTGCTTGTTATATAACACATATGGTATTTTCCATCGAGATATCAAAGTGCATTTTTAATTATAATTTCATTCATCCCTGAAAGAATTAATTTAATAATGAACAGATAAGTCAAAGAGAATAGTAAGTCGAAAGAAAGTATCTATCATTCATGTCTACTTGCTATTTCATGTTTGGAAATCATTTTGAAATCTAATAAAATCGTAAATTTTGCACAAATTTCAATTCAGAAGGATGTGAATAGTATAGTCTATCAAGTGATATTTCTGAAATTTACGAAGTACCGAATTTATAAAATACAATAATTTTAACAATGAGCAGCAAATAAAATTGCTAACAACTAAGTTGTTGTTTTTTATTTTCATGTTAATGACTCATGAAAAGCTGAATTTATTTTTGAAGGATGAGAATATAATCATTAATATGGATACGGGCGAAGCGATCTTGGTTGATTTTGGTGCCGCAGCACTCATTTCTGAGGCGTGCATCAAAGAATTTCAAGGTTAATAGAATAAACTTAAGTTGAAAAAAAAAAAAAAAAACCTTTATAGTACGATCTCTTCATCTCTTCAATCATATAGTATACCTGTATCCTACAGTGGTTTCACTGAATATCACTTATGTAATTAAAGCAGCCAAGAAGTGAACAGTATATATTGCATTAAAGAAGATAAGTTAAACAAAAAGTCAAAATTTTCTGGCCCTAATCTTTAATTTGATGATTAAAAGATTTAATTATAATGACTATATTTATACAACCACTCCATAACAAGAATTATATTGAATACTTGAAGGGTGGAATTTTCCTGAATTTCAGGTACACGTTCGTACTGTCCACCAGAATGGTTCAAACGCTTAGCATATAAGCCATTAGAAGCAACTGTATGGTCTCTAGGTATAGTCCTGTACGTTATGGTTTCTGGTTGTTTGCCTTTTCAGAATGAAATACAAATTTGCTTAGGCAGATTTACCATTCCAAAGCATATCTCAAAAGGTTGGTTCAGCATGTAATTCTGATCATTTTGCCAAAAATAAACTTGCGAATTTCTTTTGAAAGTCTCGAAATTAACTCTTCCAATCTTCCTTCAAAAATTTTTCTGCTTACTTTTTAATTAGTTATTAGTGACTAAACCGTTGAAGTCAGGTTATGCATGTTTGTTTGCAGATTGTGAAAATTTGCTGCGTCAATGTCTTGCAGTCACACCGTCCAGACGACCGGAATTGCTGGAAATTTTCAAGCATCGATGGTTGAATCAACCTATTGTTGTGCATTCGGAATCATTCAAGGTCGTACTTCAACGACATTTTCAAAAGAAGAAAGAAGCACAAGGTCGATATAAGCTACAACAGTGTGGAATTCAAGAAAATAGCAAGAAGAGCGCTATTGCCGACGAAAGTGCTAACACAAACGAGTTCATTACAAAGAAAAACGCTTTTACAAGTTGCGACATTTCGGTTGACGACAATCTCTCCGCCATGTAGTATTTGACTTAATCTATAATCATTCTTTTTGGGCTAGTTCTTATCTTTCTTAATTATAAGTTCTTATATAATAGTCTGCATGCTAATGATCTCTTCAGTTATGTATTTCACTGCATAATATTTGCGTACATGTAATGAATGTTCTTCTGCAGATCAATGCTATCTCATACCAACAGCGCTTTCAATTCCAACTTATTGAAAAAGCACCGCCACCATTCAAGGTATTCACAGATATTTTGGAAGTGCTTTCTGTTGCCAGACATGAGCCAATTTAACAAGAAGAAAGAGAGGAAATGATTATAATTGATGCTTAATTAAAGAGTGTGGCAGTAGTGTGATAAATATGTGTTGGCATTACAATTATTGTTTTTGCCACTAATTTGACTACGATTGCATTTCACACATTCCATTTCATATTTCGAGTACACTAATTTTGGATAATTAACATAAAGTACCTTTCAGTTATGATAATGTTGTGATGAATATACGAACAGATATGTTCACTTCACGAAATTGTTATGAAGATGATAATAATGTGTTAATACGTCCAAGTTCTATTGCGGAGGAATCAGAATACAGTGATTCTCCATTTTGCTCAGCTTATGAATCGATTTCCATGATTAGCACTGATCCACAGAATTCCGAATCATATGTCACTGCTTTAGAGGTTGACAGGTATTCTTATTGAATTTTTTCCTATTATTGTTTCCTATTAGTGTGGTTAGGGAAGTTTTTAACATTGTTTGCCACTGCACCTCAATTTTCAGAGAATGTTCTTTCCAAAGATCGAAAGAAGCTACTGCAATTGAACATTTTAATAACTCCTTTCGTGATAATAGTAATGCTAACAATCACCGCAAGGAAGAAGTGGTGCAAGCAAACTGTCCAGACAGGCCTGTGGAGAATATCTATCCACAGAAAGTAATGAATTCTAGGCTTGTAGCAAAGCATTGGCTTCAGAATGTAGCAATAAGATCTAAATATGGATCTCTAAAGTTGCAAAAGCCTTCAATTTGTCAGGAAAAAGGGGAACTGCAAAAAGAAGCAAATGCTAGCAGTAATTTATTAAGGATATTTAATATTGATTCACGGCGATCCTCAAATCCTAGTATTTTCCAAATAAATTAATTATTGCCAATGTTTTTATCAATGCAGATTTACTATGTATATCACAGCTTGTTGTATTTCAATGTAAAAAAAAAAAAAAAAAACTTTATTTCTCTAAATCAGTAAAATTTTACTTGTTTCACTGAAATTTCATTTCTAAGCGACAAAATGAATGGACGTAATTTAATGTTTAATAAGATCACTCAACAATAGTTCATAGATTTCCATCACATTATTTCAAAGCATACAGGTAAATTTTTTACATTTCGGATTATTGTTACTACATATTTGAAGGATTTTTCCAAAAATTTCAAGTTCGTTCCAAATTTGAGCGATACCGTGAAACTGTAATGCGACGCTTGCATTCAATGCTGGCATTCTAAAAAGAAGTGGCATAAATTAGATGTGAATTTGAATAAACACTATAATCTACGTGATATTTAGATGCTGTGAAAACGGAATTTGAAGTATTTAAAGTTAGAGCTGTAAGTAAAGGAAAAATTAATTGTTCGATTTTAGTGATAAGCTTTTAGCAAGAACAAAGGTCACTTTAATCTTTAAACAAAGGTAACGTTTCTTGTTCAATAACACGCAATTAACATGCTAGGAAATTTTAGTTGGAATAATGCAGGTGATTTGAAATTAAACTAAAGATTGATTGGAACATAGCGACAGTCGCTATCTTACTCCAAAACTGATCATTAAAAATCAATGAACACGTTTCTTGATTCAATAATCGATTTAAGCATGATGTAGAAGAAGAGAAATAATACTTTTCATATTGATTTCATGTGTAAATTCAGTTTGATCAATAATCTAATTTAAACTACGAAAATTCGATAAATTTTTTCAAAATACTGAATCCAACACCATTGAAAGAGAAAAATCATTGTGTACCGTATGCGTATAGTTCAGACAGTGAGGAATAATAAGCTGTGTTCCTTCTGCTGCAATGAGGAGAATCATGACAAATTAAATGAGATGATATTTAAACTTACTTTGCTGATAATATTTGTTCTAATTAGTCGCCCGTAGGAATGTTGTAGTGGCCTGAAATTAGGGGCCACATACTGAGGCTCTTTTTCTTCCGCAATGGTCCGTTGTAGTTTCCGCCACTTATTTAACTGCAATGTACTCATTGTGATTACTCAGTTACAAATTTATTAAATGAAAATTTCACATTGAAATTCTTTGTCGACAATGAAAAAATAAAGCATATAGATTCAACTTTAATTCTACAACTGAAAACAATTTAGTCTTTAAACTTTTAATTAACTACTGCTCAACATTCATTCAACCTTGGTCTGTATCTTTTGTGAGGCTGCGAAATAAAACTATGAGAGCTGGAATAAATTTGCTAAAATTTAAATGTTCATTCTGAACTCTTTCTCTCTCTTCTTGTTGAGCAATACGCAATTAATGTGTTAGATTAACTCATCCTATAAAAAGATTTACATTTGTCCTAGTGATATAAATTGGATGATTAAGTATAATCCAGGTGACTGTTTCATAACATCCTGGTGATGTCATCGATCCTTCGTATGTCACATAGTCCATTAAAGCAGGGAATAATTTCCATATTTTTAATTCATGCAGTGTAATACGCTTCTCTGAAAATTTCTTTTTCTTCATACATTGCTATCAGTTGACAAAAATTTTAAATTTTGCAAATGATAAACTGATTCTAAAAATTCTAAAAAGGTCATATAATGGAGGGAGTTATTTCATTTCATTTCCGATATTTAGAAATGAAAGCTAAGCATTACTTCTGAAAGGTACTTTTTCGATAGATTCGGTGATCTTTGACAACTCTTCATTGGTATGTTTATCAACCTGTAATTTTTTCTTGTGATTAAGACAATAGAATTTCAACGCTGCTCATCGAGGTACGATCTATTTTCTTTTAAGGACAAATAATTTGAAATGAAACGATAACCCTGCTAAGGTGAAATGATCATGATCATTTGAGTCACTATTAAAGGCTCGCAAAAAACTATTTGGATAAAATGAACGAAACAAATGGATTGCAATAATCATAAGGGAGCTGTGTGTGCGTGAAATTCAAACACAACCAAAACGATAATCGAAACAGCCGCGATTCCACGTGGCAACGTCAAAGCTGTTGTAAAATTACTGTATAAATCAGTGTTATATGTTATCAGTTGAATCTGGAAGTAGGTGAAATTCGCACTACTTTGATCACAACAATAGCACTTTGGAATAGTTATCTCAATTCATTGCTTTCTGTCCTTATGTTTGTGAATTGACCTCTTCGTAAGTCACATTACTTTGATTGAATTTTCAACATACAAAGTTATAACTTAAACGTGAAAAGTAAAAAAAAAAAAAAAAAACACCTCCATAGGGAAGTTTTTCGAATTGATAGCATGCTCCGAACCTGTCATGTCATCGTTTGAATAATGAAAATCTATTCTTTGTAGGCGGTATTTGTAAGGGCGCAATGGCCCGCCAGTGATGTTTACCGCAAAAGAATGAGTATCATAAATTACTCGTAATCGTGGCATCTGACCTATGTTTATCATTTCAGCAGTCGCCTAAAAACCGTTGCATAGTTTTATTGCGACCTCAATATGGTAGTGGGAATATTTTAGAAAAAGTGAAAAATGAACGAGTTTGCAGGATAACTTCATATTCTAAAATTTGTTGCGCAGTCAACCTATTTTCAGTTTGACTTCAGCTCATTCAATTTATTTCAATTCAAACATAAAAGATTTCTGCCAAAGTAAGGAGGAGTTGCATAGTTATAAAAATTTTCTTGCTATATAAAACACAACTAATAGGTGCACTGAAAGAAATTTAAAATGTCACCTCTCGTTTTCACACAAATTTCAGCATATTGAAATTATTTCCTGGTTCGTTTTAATTTTAATTTAAAATCTATTCTAATGATAGAAGTGAAAAGAACTGAGTGTTAGTGTTGAAAATTAATATTCGCAAAATCTCTTCTAATCATTTTACAAAAGCATTGGCATGTCTCAGTCATAAAACTAGAAAAAGCTTACTGATATTTGATCTATTTTAATATCACTTAGTCGAGGATCGAATAAAATCGATGCTGGTTTAATGTTTATTGGCGATTGCATTTTTCCTTTTGCACACATCTTCCACTTTTTGCTCAATAAACCCCAAAAGTCGGGTCCTGTAATGAAATCGATTTCCACTTCAAAGTGCTATAATTTTTTTGATTTGCAAAGGAAAAATAAGGCGAAGTATTTTTCGACGGCTGATGAATTCTGATGTAAAATTTATGTGCACAATAAAATTACCTCCAAAAAGGTCATTATCATATGTCCACGGATAATCGTTCATTCTTAATGTCCTCAATTGTGGATAAAACGTTGCTAAGAATAAAATAGTAATATATGTCATAGTTGCGCCACCAAACTGATATTAACCTATTTATCCGGCAGCTATTATACGGTTTTCACCTGATTCCATTTTTCATAATTTTCCACCATTTTCATTGCTTATAGACATAGAATTCGATTAAGTTAATGTCTATGTTGAAATTAATCGCGAGTAATTAATAGCATCATTGATGGTGGTTGTAAATCATCAGAATAAGGAGCTCAATTTAGGAATTCTTGAACAAATGGAAGTTATTCCACATCTTGCCGGATTCCTTTAGTTGAAAAACCGGAAAAAGCATGGAATTCACAATGATCATACAGTCTTTGAATTAACTCAAAATTGACAGGCTTAGAATGATTGATCAGCATGAATCGGGTGATACAAATAATGATAGTATTCGTAATTTTTATGATTAAGTAAGTACAAGTAAAATACTTAAATTGTAGATGCAATAATTGAAAATGAAAGAGTTTGTTCTTGAAAATAGAAAAAGCTAAAAAATTTTAATTTCAAGATGGAGAACAAGTTCGCAATTTGTATGATGACAGTTGTACTGAATTGAATAAAATTAGCTTCGTCTAAGAATGAAGCTGTCTGTGACTCATTCATTTCTACCTCATTTTCATCCGCTCAATTCAAAAGTAATACAAGCAGAGCGAAACAGCTCCGCCTAATCAATTTCAAATTCATCAACGTTTAAATGCAAAAGAAATTTCTTCATTCTTAAATGTCGTCACTAGCTTCACTAACTATTCCAACAGTAAAAACACTGAATTTAATTTCAAAAAATATTTTGCTTAAATCGAAGGGATAATTAGTCTCATTCAATTCTTCATTCTCATTGGATGTTCACACTTCATTAAGTTATATTTAAAATGATTCACAGATACTACATCTATTGGAATTGTTGTCCTTCAGGTTTGTTGATGATTTCAACGAAATTTCAAAATCTTTTTCACCCATAAGAAAAAAGCTGCTGCTCCAATTTTTGATGCAAATTTCATCGAAATACATTTAAAAACATTAAAGTATTTGATTGTAGAGATAGCTAGCTAGCAGAATACTTGATCACTAGTCTTCTGCGCCTTTGAATTTCCACAAGAGTTAAATCAGCTACTCAAATTCATTTAAATTTTTTTTTTAAATTTTAATTACTAAAAGACTTGTTATCGTTTTTCTGCAGCACGAAACTATGCTATAAAAAAAAAAAAAAAACCAATTACTGGAAAAATGCGAGAATGTAAATGATTATTTTAAGCAGTGAAAAGATGTCAAAGAAACAAAACAGTCGAAATTAATTGAAAATCATTAATCATTTAGAAATTAGGTGGGAAAAAACTTTTAGTTACTAAAGAAATTCTCCCAGACAAATGCATTTATTTTCTTTTAATACTTCAATGTTGGGTGCACAACTAAAATGCTTGGAATTACATAAAGAATTCTTGAATTTCTCAAAAACATAGAATTTTTTGTTATTTCAAACTATCACACACAGTAATTTCACCAAGTCTTAGTCTTCTTTCTTTCTGTCGGAAATTTTCAGTTAATCTTATGAAATTGCAAATTTCATTTTAGATCCATTTCATGCCTCTAGAGACACTCCTTCACAAACATTTCACTCACTTTGTCACAACACTTAACGATTATATGAGGAGAGAAATTACATTTCAGTCAAAATAGTTTTATGATCTGAAAGGAAGAAAAAAATGCCAATATTATCAGGGTTAGAATAACTTCATTGCAATTGAGATGCCATTACTAACAATTCAATTTAAACGGTTTGAAATAGCTTCTTAAACATTCCTTGTGAGGAATTTCCACTTCAGAGAGTAATATCTGAAGCACTACAATGTTTTTTAGTAGAAACTCTTTTTGATTTAGTTGATTAAAAATTATATTGAGACTTTTGAGTGAATTGCAAGAAATGCGTTGAAATTTCTTTTCAAATTTTGTCAACGAAAAGCTTCTTCTACTTTATGATGAAAGCTTGATCCTAATCTGAAGGAGTAATTAAAAGCACTATAATACTTTTAATGATTCATCTCTATAATAGCATTCTTTGATTTTTAATAGTGATAGCTGGATTGATGAATCAAGCAAATAAACAACCATAGAATTTTAATTATCGTTAGTGCTTGAAATTCAACTTTCATTATATTTACCACTCTGCACTAATTTATTTAAAAATCATATTGAAATTTTTGAACAAATTGTAAGAAAAGCCAACACGATTAAGAGTCAAATGAAAAAGAGAGCTGGAAATCTTTTCGACTGAATGGAATTCATTTAATGTAAAGCAATCAATGTTACAAGAAATTCGATACTGCATAAGGCATTCTTTAATACATCTAATGAATAAGTGATTAATTTGAAGCGGAATTGCACAAAATTTGCAGTAAAATGTTAAAGAAATAAGGAATGAAGCCAGAAATTGCATGTGTGAATATTAGCTGGGCAGTCAGTTATTTTAGACACTATTTTAAACTATTTACTTATTACTAATCTACTCTCATAAGTGGTATTAATACTGGATTATGCAATGGAAGCAATTTGACTGCAAATTGATGTAATAAATAAGTATTGGAGAGAGAAATTTGAATTAAATATAAAATGACCAGAAGATAATAAAAGCAACGGCTTTTGGATCAAAACTTGAATATTATTACGGATCGTTTATTAACAGAGTTTAACTATGGTTTCTGCTAGCACTGTTGCTAATTATTTCAGAAGAACATTAGTTAACGCTTTTGTATCTACCACTTCGATCTAAATTTAGTACTGAATTAGTATTTTTGATGAAGATTGAATAAATTCAAAGTGGTATTTCAGTGGAATTAAAAGTTTGTAGTGTAGTTCAGTCTTTCTTAAAACCTTCGAAAAATACTGAGAAATGTTTGGACTTTGGAAAAAAAGATCCGAAGAGAAAAAAGCAGAACTGCAAAAGTAAATTATTGAGTAAGAAAAATCTATACGTGAATGTATCAGGTGCAATCCAATATGGTGCAAAACTTTAGCTTCATCTCAATGCCTAAAAGAAAAATAAATTACTTTTTGCAGCTTTCCCACATATACTTTACAATCTTCATCTGATAATCTAAGTAGTAAACATATAGGAAAAGATTCAGAAGGAATTTTTTTTGAAATGCAAAATTTTATTAAAAAATGGAAACATGAAATAGGAAAGAATAAAAGAAGTAGGAGTAGAGAAACTTTTAACAAGATAACGCTAGCAATTCCAATTGATTCTAGCATAAAACAATCATTGTTTAATCTTACTCTTTAATTTTCTAATAAAAAGAGGAAATTAGTTTTTAAAGAATACAAGATTTTAAATTTTGAAAAATATTTTTTAAGTTCTGAATCTAAAGGTCAGAGTTGAAAGCTTCTTTGATTATATTATGCTTAACTTATAGAAAGTCATGAAGAAAAAAGATGCAACTTACAGATGTAATTAAAACGATCTAAAAAAACCAAAAAATGTAATGTTTTCTGGAAAGCCAGAAGTCGGAAGCAGAATTACTTCCTGCTTCATTTCAAGTCGGATATAATTACAGTTTAACCGTAATATGATTAAATATTTTTCATATCTGATCTCTCATAAATTTCATAAACAACATTTAGGTTATTCAAAACTTTTTCTCCTAGAGTGCATTATTTGTCATATATAAGGGATGTCACGCAATCACGCAATTTTTTCATTACTTTCCGTCACAGCGATAATCTCAAAGAGACTTATTCTCGAAGATTCTTTCTCTGTCTCTTCTCTACTACACAAAATGTCACACCTGCTAAATCACTTACTTCATCGGCACTTTTTATTTAACACATTAAAATGTATTAAGTGTAAGCCACTAACCTGATCCATCCACAAAGTTTAGTGAGTGATGTAGTACGTGATAATTGTAATCCACGTAGAATCTGACTTTTAAATCTTTTTTTTTATTGTGGAAGTAATGCGTGACCTGATATTACTGAAAAAAAAAAATTTCAAAAGCATCTAAGAGAGAGGCGGAAAATCGTTTCTCTCGTAGTAAGTTTTTTTTTTTCAGTGTTTGCTAAAAGTATTGTTACTTTTAGAAGTGAGCTGTAGTATTGATCTGATGTAACTGATTCCTTCATGTATCGATCACTTTATTTGGACAAAATTAGAGATCAACAAACTGATTATGCAACAACTACAAATGCGCATTTTGAGAGAAGGAGGAGTAAAATATTGCATAATTGAATATAATTTTAAATTCATTTTACATTATTTCTGATTATCCATAGGCTTTCAGAAAACTGTATTAGGTAGTAAATCACTCTGGCAGTCCTGGTTCTCATGCTAATTTGTTTATTTTAAGTTCATTTGATACATTTCTTTAAGCTTAAAGCTACTAAGTTATTTGTAATTGGTTTTGATTCACTTCTTAAATTTCAGCAGTATTACAGGTGATTTTCTATCAATCCAGGTAAACGAGCTTTCTCTCGAAGACCGTAAATTGCTACACGAAACATTTAACTTATTTGAAAAGGACTTAACAACGAATGGTCTAAGAATATTTCTTCAGTTAGCTCTTATAACGAAGTTTATTTACTTATTTTGCATGAGGTCGTCTGTCCATTCCATACTCGTCGTTTCAGGTATCTGTAGGTATCTCTCTACTACCGTTCAGCTATCTTGCAGACTACCTTAGACTTTTTAAAGTACTGCTGTCCATTTGAAACTTTTTTTATGCTAATTTTTATGAGATCATTAAGATAACAATGACACATATGCAGCACAGTATCCTATCTGTCCGTCTATTTCATTTTTAGAACAAATCATTTTGGGAAGATTATTGTTACTGTGATAAATAAAGCTTATGAACAATAGAGAGTGTCAGTTGATCATTGAACTCAAATTTGCTGGGATTGGAATCTATATTCACAGTCAGTTTACTAATCGAGACTAGTGTTTTAATGAAAAATGTGAGTCCCTTTATAGGACGCTCTCGGAAAATCCGGATTACAAATACTTCTGGCCTCAGTTTCGCGCCATACCGGATAGCTCATTAATATCATCCAGTGTTTTGCGAAATTTTGCGCATACTTACATGAACGCTTTAAAAAAAATCGTTGAAAGTTTAAACAATGAGCAAATGCCTTACGAAGTATTGCAACGAATCTCAGCCAAGCATGCTAGGCATAATATACAAATGCATCATATGCAGGTTTCAGATTGATTTAACTCTAACAATTGATCAGTTCTAATTCGAGATATATCCATTTCAACTTATGGCAAAGTCACTATAATTTTCCTTTAAGTAGAGATAGAAATTCATGTCAAACTAGAAAAGGAACTAAAAATTTCAAATTCATAGTAAAAATATTTTTTAAAACTTCTTTCATTTTAAATGGAAGAATATTTCGAAAAAAAAAACCGAAATTAGAAAACGGATTTTATCCGTTTTTTTTATAAAAAAAAGAATTTGCTAAGACGTTTGGAATCGTAGTGCTTAATAAATTAAACGAAATGGCCTCATATGTGTTTTTTTTAGCATGTAATTATTATCAATCTATGTAATTAGAAATTTCTTACAATCAAATTTTTATAGAAAATGATAAAACCACTGCTGGAAAATGTGCGCAGGGCATTAGGACGACATGATGAAAATGCGGAACGAGCATGGGAGACGTTATTTCAAACAGTTGGTGCTATTGTTGAACACTATAAGACGTCTCAGGTGTGACACACTTATTAATCAGATACTAATAATGTTAAGGCAGTTACAAAAATAAATTTTTGGTATGAAGAAAAGGAGATTTAGTTTTTATCAAATTCTTTATCATACAAAAATTTAGTTATTTTAAATCATTTTTGGAATGATTTAAATTGAAAAAAAAAATTTAAAAAGAACACACGGTGATTAATTTGACTGTTACAATCGTAAAATGCAGTAAGAAGGAAATAAAATGTTTGCTAAATGATTGCAAATAATATCAGAGAAGTATAAAAATGTTTATTTGCTGAAGTACTTCTACAATTAATCTTTCAATTTTATGTTATCTTTTTTGTCAGATGGGTTCATTAGTGATCTGAAATGTTAGACTAGACAAAAAGAAAATCGAAACAAAAAATAAAAATTGAAAGCAAAAGTCCATGGACCAAATATTATTTATTTTCAAAATTTTCAACACTTAGGTTACAGTTATCTCATTTTATAAAAAGACAAAACCTGGAGTTTAGAAATACTACCAAAAAAAGATTGCTTAAAACTAACTGCCATGTATCATCCAGATTTTGCGGTCATTTCTTTTCATTGCCTTTCATTACTCGAGGTACGAGTGTACTTCAATTTGAAATCATTACTGTAATTTAGATCGATAGGTCATTTTATTCCACATTTTATGCATTTGCATTTCTGGGAAAGTAATTGAATCGTTTATCTAAATCATAACAATTATAATATAATAATCGGTGACATAGCAATTGTAAATACGTTCTGAATATTTCAAATATTAATCATTTCAAATCATTCAAATCGCTTTACAATTTTATTTTAATATTTTTAATGTTGCATGAATTTGCTTGGAAGTATTAAACTCGCTGATTCATTTGAATGGTCATCAAAAGTTGACCATCGTTTAAACTTGAAGTTATCTCAGAAATTTTCAATTTTAGTTTGAGAATTAAACAAAGTCACATATAATAGAATAGATGGCGAGAATTCAGGGCTATTCCAGAAATCTTCCACTACCTACTGAGTCGCTAAAGAAAACGTTATATACATATTTAAGTATAGAAAAGCGACTATCTAAGTTTTTGAGGAATTCTTAAGTTCAGAAAGTGACGCTAACAGTAATTTGCGCGTTATTTACTCAAAGTGTACAACTTGTCCATTCTCACCAATTTTTTGGTAGTGTTAAAAGAATAGCTGCACATGTGTGTCCAGTAGAAAGAAAGAAAAAAGATTGAAAATTTTTGCTAATTTTTCTAGAACTTTTCTGGCCTCGACACTTAATTTTTTTTTCTTAAAAATAGATCAAATTTCTTTGTCAAGTAAGGATAAGAAAATAAAAGTAATAAATTTTCAAGAGCAAAGTACAGTGATAAAAATATCAATTAATTATAGAGCTGTTTGGCTTTCTAATTCTTTTTTCGTTATATCTTCATGTCCTCTTGAATAAGTTAAATAAAATATTAAATCCGGTTCAGTAATGTTCGGAGAATTTCAGTTGAACACAACCATTTCTTTTTACTTTCCTGTCAAAAGTCTCGAGCGGTAATGATACTGGCTGATACTAATAGCAAAAATAGTAATGATCTGGGTTTTTGTGCGTTAGACAAGATTCAGGTGTTATTCTTGAGCAAATCTGGTAACATTTTAATGATTAATACATTTTCAAATCGCAGAAAATCATTGATTTAATAAGCTCTCTATGCTGCCATATTTTAAATAAAGTTTTCCTAGAGATTTGTCTTCCAAACCTCTTCAAGAACATGTATGATAAAATGAAAATGAAAAAAAAAAAAAAATAAATTTTAAATTATAGCGACATTTGCGCCATTTCGGTGTTTAAATGATTACATTTCCACATAGAAAAAAGTTAAAAATTTCTATCCACTAATCATACATTAGAAATGGTACTAGTTCTTTGATGTCACAACTCAAAAGAAATTCTCTTTCAAAAAGGACATACTCGATTCCTTTATTTGTAAAAATTTTTGAATCCAGTTAGCTTCCAAATCTCGATACAAATAATTTTTACTGAATCACAACTTTTTAAAGTGATTGACATAGCTATAGAGGAAAACAATATCAAATTTATGACTATGAAAAAATTTCATTTCCATGTCTGTTTATCCCGATATGCAAATACCTCAGCTCTTCTTGACCTGTTATGATCAAACTTTCAATAAACAAATGGGGAAAGAAAACGGAAATAAATATGGAATAAAGATTTCGAATTTTTCAATTTCTTCAGATGTTTCATTAAAGCGTATAGGTTACGGAGAGCAATCACAACATAAAAATCTAAGCTCTAGCAAAGAAGACTACAAATTCGATATATCTATGACAAATATTTAAAATATCATAGTGTATATTTACTTGATACTATTCCACAGATCATTTTTTTAATAATCAATATGGTTAATAAGCATTCTTTTTTGTTTTGTTTTTGCAACTTAGAGTTATCGGTAATATCAATGAATGAGTAAATTTTTCAGTTCGAGTGTTCAAATTTAACATTTCACAAACTTCAAAAAAAAAAACTACTGAGAGCAATTCAACAAAAGATAGTGGAATTTATTATATACCATAATTGGTCAGATAATAGTTTTAAAGTGTATGATTAACAATAATGGTTCTCAAAGCTTTCTTTCGAGGGTCTTTCGCATTTGAATTAATATATACACTTGTGTCACAACAACACCCACTATTAATGCTACATGTCAAAAATGTTTGGACGGTGAGAAGGAGTAATTAACTGAATTAGAAATATTTATTCCCTTTCTGCACTAAATGCTAAATTCACAAAATTTCTCCGTTCGTTTTTATGTGTCAACTTGTGCACTTTTCTGTAAATGTGTCATTTGTGTAATCCTTTTGTTTACCGGTTTCATCTTGGTTGGTACCACTCGAACATGCGACTGCTAGAGACAAACAATATTGCTAACGACGGAAGAGCAGAAATGAAAAAGATCACTTTTAATTCTAATTTCCTAACTTATTGAATATGATCGCCAACTGACTGAGTTAAAAATAAATTGCATTGTTTATAAGTTTTTCCACAAAAATATCTTTCATTTTTCGACTTATCAATTAAATTTCATTATTATCTCAATCCCTCATATTAGAATTGAGTATTGAAAATCAAAAATCAGAAATTTTCGAAGTAATCAAAGGAAGAGCATTATACAAAAATAGACCCACTACCGTACTACTATTGAAAAAATATATTGCAGTAAATAATTTCATGTCGTTTAATTATTACAATAGTAATGCAAAAGTTACTGACAGCATTACCTGAGACTTTTTGTAGACGATTTTATTGTTTCGATATAAATATATAATTTTATAACTTCAGTACATAGACATTTGCAAATAGTTTCTTAGTAAAAGAAACCGAAGCACAGATAAGAAAAATACAATGTAGTGTTTTCTGAACAAACAAGAAAATTTCTTTTCAATTAATGAATACATGATAACTTCCAGATAATCAATTATTTGGGAACACTTATTTCACGTAATAACTTGTACAAATGCATATAGAGCTAACTAAATATAATATTAATGAAGTATTAATTAACAGCTAAATTTGTTATTGTGTTAAAAACACTCATCTTTGTGTTGTTAGGTGATGGTGTTTAATACCAAAACAAGTCACAAAATTTTAAGGTAATAAATTTTAAGGTTTTGACTCTTCATGATTTTAAATCATCAATTAAATGTGCTATAGATTGATGCTTTTCTCTATAAAAAGTTAAAAAGTCTTCAGTTAATAAGTACTTCAAAATTATTTTACTGTATTTGCTAATTCATTATTGGTCGATAAAACATTTTGTCACCAATCATTGATAAACACAGAACTATTCAAAATTTTTAGAAAGGCTGAAAGTAAGTTAGAAAGGCTGAAAAAAGTTGTGCAACATCGGAAGCATAAGTAATAGGAATTGCATAATCTAATAAATAGCATTTTTATTTATTGAACTTGCCTAAACTGAACTTAATAAGAATCAAAGGTCGATTTGTTCATTTCTTACTAAAAGTAGCTTCAGCTAAACTAATGATGAATAAAATTTAGTATTTCGAAAAATTTTAATGAAAGTTAAATCACATAAAATAACTAATATTTTGTAAAAAGAAAAATACTTTTAGCCGAATTTTCTATTTTATCTCGATTTAATATATTCATTTTTAAATTTCATTTCAGCTTTTGAATATATTTAATTTAATCATCTTCTTTTAGTATCAAGATCTGTCGCCTTGTATTTATTAAAATATAATTTCAGAAGGTGAAATAGCTTTCTTATTTTCTTGAATTTTAGAAATTTGAAAAGTTTTTGACTATTCATAAAAGAAAAAGGCGGACTGTATCATAAAAATAGCAATAAAGTGAAAGTCCCATGTCCACCTATAGCTTCACTTTTTCATCATTGGTCACAATTATTTATCTCAGCAAGTTTACAATTTGATGAGGAAAGCACAAATTAACATAAATGAATAAAACATGAAGTATAAAAAGAATGACGTAAAACAAATGTAATATGCAAGCATGAAAATCTCTAGTTGTTTAAATAATTATTATATTAAAAATCTTATTATCCTCTTACTAGCTGGATTTTTGGTCAAACAGTCGATTTAAAACGCTAAACGCTTCGAAATTAAATCTTTAAATTTTAATGGAATTGAAAAACTGAGGTTTGTGGATTAATTTCCATAATATTGTTTGAATTTTTTCTGCTGATCAGTCAGTTTTGGATATCGATCATTTCTATTCAGAATAATTTATTTCTATTTAAGGATTAATACATTTTATTGAAGTGTTTTATTGGAAGATCTCCTTTCTTTTTAATTGTGAGTCAACTTCCCACCTATTTTCAAAGTAGAAACATTATGTTCATAAAAAACCATGTTTTTTCAAATAAATGAAGCTTAAAATTTAGATGCACTATATTATTTAATAATGAGTTCTACAGATGCACTACTTTTGAACCATTTCTGTTCTAATGATGAACATGTTAGTATGGAGACAGATTATTCGTTGTGCTTCGCCTCGTAATATTACCGAATATCGAAGTAAGGAAAGTTTCTAGAAAAAATCTTCTTAGTGAGCTGTCGAATGTACATACATAGTTTTTCCAACTACCAGAATTCGCCAACTTTTAAAAAGATTTTTTCTCAACGTAGCATAAACGTTTTCTTCACAGAATTACTAGTGGATCGTATAAAACGTCTAGTTCTGACAAAATGAGAACAATTAAAGGTATCGCTGGTAAATTCAACGGTTAGCTTTTTTATTATTTCGTCTTACTTCAGATTTGTCAGTCGCAACTATAATTTATGCTAAGTTCATAAGTTCATCCAGTACTACATGACCAAGCAGTGATTTCTTCGTTCAGATTCAGATGTTTAAAAAAGGAAGGATTTCATTTAGCTTCCTTCAAACTTAATTATATTTGGTTATTCCACTAAGATGACATTTACTATATTTTTAAACAACGAATAGATAAAGTATATCAACCAGTATGATATATTATAATGTTAAGTTTCCAACTTACATCGATTTTTAGTCCCAAGTAATTATTAACACTTACCTCTGCCTTTTCATTTTTCAATGCAAATATGAAAAACTAAAAAAGTGATTTACAAAGTTATTTTGTAAATGAAAACGAAAGCATTGCCTCATCTCTACAGTGTCAATTATAAGTTCAACACTTCTTTGAAATCATTGCGCAGATCCCACTTTATCATTTATTACTGACATTTGATCATTTTACGGTGATAGTAATAATGGAAATAAAAGGCAAACTGATAATCAGTTGGTTACTTCTTTTATTGTAATATTCAGTAATTTCTAAGAATATTTATCAAAAATAGTTGAAATCTCATCTCAAATTTAAATCGAAATTGAATCAAAATCTACTTGCTTAAATCAAAATCTATTTGCATTTTTCGGAAATCACACTTCAAATATTTCCACAATTCGGTTGTATATGTTAAAGATTTGATACTAAATTGTTATAAATCATCTCTTGTAGATAGAATTTACTGAGTCATCAAATAGTGTCCTTGTTGTTTTATTTTTAATCACACTGTAACATCTCAAGCAATTGATCATTGTCATAAGTCTGAATGCCACTTAACTGTACTTACTATTATTTTAAAAGTTGATAATTACAACAAAAGTTAGAATATTATTATCAGCCACCATTTAAAATTCGATCACTCCGAAGAGTAAAATGTACTGTAATTATTTGTAAAAATTTTGCACAATTAAGATATTTCTTTGATCGTGCTGGCTTCTTTGTTTATTAAACTGCAATCAAGTATTATGCTGATTTTTTGAATTCTTCTTTTCGGCGTTATAAAATCAACAAATCAAAAAGTGACTGATATTTTTTTGAAAATTTGATGTCTAAAGTTGCTAAGGGTCAATATATTGTAATTTATTAATGGATACAAAAGCCTTAGACAAATCGTTTTCAGTTTTTTTCATTCTTTTTCATTAAGGGCACATTACCATTTAGTAAAAGTTTGATGAACTAGGACAGGAATAGATCTAAATTTGAGAGCAATCTTGTTTTAGTTCAGTTACAGATAATGGCAACAAAAATCCCCATAGATATTGTAATAAACTATTCATTGAATGTCACTTTAAATAATAATAAGAAAAAACTAAAATAAGAAAATATAACGAAGAAGTTAAAAACCTAAACAAAAAAATCCAACAAAAAAGAAAAAAAAAAGAATATAACTTTTAATTTTGACTAAAAGTTGAAAAAAAAAAAAACTAAAAAATCAAAATTAACCTAAATCCAGTCTATTATAATACCCATATCTAACAAGATGAAGACTATAAACAGAAGTGTCCTCACTTAAATCTTGTAACACAATAGTTCAAGATTGGAGATCTCTTCCACAAAAGAATTAGATAAAGAGCATTAAAAACATAGATGACAGCTGCACCGGAACTCCTTTATATGAGCTCAAACTATTCGTTAACGAAGCATTACAATAATAAAAGTATTTTACAAACGGTCATCAAAGAACTCAAAGAATCTCTGTATTTCACTTCTAGTTACCGTACTCCAAAACGGATACCGTAGTCTAACGTACCAGAACCACATCTCCTCAACTTCACATCCGTAAAATTTTTCTATTTTAGAAATGAAAAAATTTCCATTGTATTATGAACTTCATCAAATGAATTTCAAATGATCACAAACCTGAGCTTAGCAACTCATTTAAAAGCGAAAATGTGCCATGATGTGACTCGGAATTTTTCTGTCTGATTATACGAAATACGATTTCATTTTTTGAAGCAATGCCTACTTACGACTGATATGAGTACACGCAGTTCAAACAGTATAATGTCATTTGACTTGATGCAATTCCGTAAATTTACGAGAATATTCGAAGAACACAAAACAATATAAACGTAATAAGTCCTTCCTCACCATTTAACTAAATGATTAGAGTTTCTACAAGTACAATAAGATTTAAAACAGAACACTCTCGATCTGCGATTAAAATGCAACAAATGTCACTCTATTGTTTCACTAAGAAATGAGCTAAGATCAGACCCTTACCATCATTCTTTTTCTTCCCTTTTGTTTCACTAATAATAAAGAATGATTTAATAGTTTTTTGATTTCCTCATTTTATATGTAATAGTATTCATCTTCTTGCACAAATTTATTAGGGAATTGTACAAGTGAAGGTTCTTTCATATTTATTTGTATAACTTGTAATTATTCAGTGATATCAAGCAGCTAACAGTAATTGAGAATAAAATGCTACATATAGATAGGTCATCATTAATGAGATGAGGGAGAATTTTCGGCTTAAAACAACAAAAAAGAAACATAAAAAGAATATTCCCTTTGATAAAGTAACATAGCACAAGAACATTACAAACTTAACAAAATGCACTTGATAATATGGATGTGTGACCATACACCGGATTTAAATTTTTGTTAAGAAGACTTTAGTCTTTGAATATGGCATTTCAAAAAAAAAAAAAAAAAAAAACAACCTGGTGAATAAATAGGTCATCAGTACGATATGTTAAGAATCATATATTTTGGTAGGACACACCGCCAATAACATTTCTTGACGCATTACGATGTAAGGAAGATATAAAATAACTAAGGTTTGATCTATTCCAGGATAGATCAAATCCTAGTTATCTTTCTTAGTATTATGTGAAAATGATAAGCTAGAGTGAATAGTAGAAATGACCAGCATAACCAGTAAAACAAGGATGTTTTTGATATCAACTAAAATAAAATAACTTATCTACACTTTCTTGTACAGCAAACAGCAAAATATACTACAGATGAGGAACAAAATCCCCGAATAGTCCAACGTTGATAGTTTGAAGCTGCAAACGTCAATCATATTACCACATTATGAGAATATTAACAACATAAATTAGCTATCTTAACTTATCCGTGAATGAATGATGTCATACACAGGACTAAAAAAATTCAAAAGATGATTATTAACAAGGTTGACATCGAACTGAGGCTTGAGGAGAATATTATTTATTAGAACATTCCTATTAGCCACTGATCTTCTTGAAATTGGCCAGTTCTTCAGCTTTAAGTAAAAGTTCAAGAAGAATCAACTATGGCTCATAAAGGGTGTTATGTGAGCAGTCGGAATTGGAATCGGTGAAACAATCTTCTGCTGCAGTTTAGCAGCTGGTGAGGATGCTCTACTGTTGCTACTGCTGTTGTTTAACAATTTGTTGCCGCTACCGTTTGAACTAACAGTTGCTGGAGGAAGAGGCACTGCTGTGGGATGTTTAAGTTGTTGCTGAGAATTCTTCGAGGAAACATTACTGTTTGGAGGACTATGTGTCGATGTAACTTGATTAGATGATGAACAGGACAGTGTTGAACTACTGCTGTGAGAGAGAAGAGGTGGAGTGCTGGTACCGGGAAGTCCAGGAATTGGAGGTGGTTGCATATGCAAGTGATGCATGAAATTTGCCAAAGCTGGATTCCTACAAACAATTTATACTCCAAATATTCCTGCAGCCATTGTCCGTGAAGCAACAAATGATTCTACAATTTTTCTCCTATGATGCTGAAATAAATTGCTACGCAATTTATTAGTTAATTAATTAATAAAACATATATATCTCGACGTAAAGTTTTATGTTTCATTTTGACAAAAAGCACCTTTATTAAAAGCTTTCACAACACCAGTAATACTTATAGTTCATCATAAAATATTCAACGTAAGAAAGACTATGGGAGAACATTCATTCATCTACTAGAAATAATATCCTGTCCTTTAGAGGATGTATATAATTTAAGCTAATCAAATGTACTTTAATAATGTGACTGCTCTGTGCATTACAATTTCAAAAAAAAAAAAAGAAAAAAAAGACAAAAAGAACCTTAAATAAGGAGTGGCTTCAGGCACAATGGGCATACCACGTCCAGAAAGAATATGTTTAATTGGCTGTGCGGCAATTTTTGGATCCATAAACAGTGGTGGTGCCTGCATATGTATCGGTGGACTAAAACCAACATGTTTTCCATCCAAAGGGAAAGAGGAAAGCTGAAAATAAATTATGAAGTTAATGGTAAAATATAATTTCCTTTAAAAAAAAAAAAAACAAATTACACACCTTATTTCCAATTCCATTTAAACCATAACTTTTCACTAAAGCTTCATAATTTGTTTTCATTTCCAATGGACGAGGCTGTATTGGTCTCGGATGGCTGATTGTTGTTGCTGTTGCCGCCGTCGTACTTGCCGGAGTAGAAATAGTTGTAATCACCGTGGTATTTTCCGTGATTTTCGAAATTGTATGTAATTTACTAAGGGTTTTTTCTTTGTTTGTAACATTCTCAGTTTTCACATTGGATGAACTCGATTCTGTTTTAATACCATCGGTGGATATTAGCTTCATAGCTTGCAAGCTACCGTTTTTATTTCCAGGTTTACTACTTGATTCCATAGATTTGTCATTAGACACGAGTTTAGACGACGATTCAGCAAAACCAGATGCTGCTTTTGCTAACGTCTTCGTCTTGGATCCCTTAGAAATCTTTGTTGAACGACTTGGAGAAGAATCAATGATTTGTTGTAATCTGAAAAATAAGTTCAGTGTGAAATATACTTCTCTGAAATAAGAAAGATGAAAATATAGTATGTTACAATAACTTGTCAAAAATTTACTTGTTATCAAAGGATGTCGGCATTAGCTTTGCTTGTTTTGTAGCTGGTGTATCTTCATGGGGAGGTGTTTTTGCAGGAGTTTTTTCAGTAGACTTTATACGTCCACTGCTAACAGACTTTTTGCTTAAACCCGTGTTTTCAAGTCGCATTAGCGGAGGAGGTCCTTTTGCAAGCGGTGACACACCGGTCATGCGCTGCACAGGTATTGGAGATGCAACTTGTTTTTTTGTTGGTGCAGTAGACTTCCTCTTCTTCCTGTTAAAAAAATCTGAAGTTGAACGAGAAAATGTGAATTATTTATTGTATACGTGAAATACCTTGGAAAAGAAGAAATTCCTGAACGCAAATTCATTATTCCATACTAATTATCTTCTTATTAGTCTAAGGTAAGGGATAAATTTCAGATTGCAATATTGCTACACGCTTAGAGTAATCAATAGAACTAATCATAAAAATCATCTAAGTGCGCCCAGATATTTCACGACCAATTTATAGAACAAGAAACTTATTTAAACTAAACTGTATTTGAAAATGGAAACGATAAAGAATCATCTCACCTAGGTGGTGGATGCACCTCGGTAGTAATGATAGGCTGGTGATTCGGTCCACCTTCCATCATTGAAGTATTTAGTGAAACCGTTAGTGCTGGTAATTGTACAGGAGTTTCAATTGCAGCTGCAACCGAAACGCTTCCCTGTGAAAGAGGTTCTTCAGCAACCAGTTCCGGCATAAATTCCATATCTAACACCGGTGGTTTTTCCTCTTCGAGATGTCGCTGTAATATAGTAATTTTAAGTATATATGTTTAGAAAAAATTCAGAACTTGTGAGATCAAAACCGGACTTCCAGTGGTACTGGAAAAACGATATACATGATAAAATTTAAATCTTTCCAGGTACTTACTTGCAAAGTAAAAAGAACTTTCATAGGTCCCAGACGTCGCCATGAAAACATATAAGCAACATCCTGTAGTGTGCATTGATCATCCAACGTCACATTGCAGTCACTGTCGACAAAAAATAATCGATAAGTATCCGAAACCTCCAACTTCGCTTCCAGTAATTTCCGCAATGCACTAATTTTTGTTGATGCTTGACAACGAAAATACCTGAAAAATTTTATTCCTGAAAACTAATAAAATGCACGATATTAATGTTCACAGTCGTAAAAGGCAACAATTATTAAAACAATAATAACAGTCTACTATTAAAAAAAGGAAAAAAAAAGATATGAAGAAAAAGCTGAAAAGGGCAAACATCGAGAAAGTGGTGAGACTACGGAATCTATAAATTAAACTTACCTTCAATTTAAAAGGATTAAGGACAGTCGAGAAAATATGAATACCTTTTGAATGTAGTCAACATTGCTTCCTGCTTTTCTAAGCGATCAGCTTCTGCAACTGTAGAAGGTTTGTCATCGAGCAACCTTGATGCATTTACTGCTTCCTTATCATTATTATCTTCATTGGTGTCATTATCTGACACACCCGGTGATACGTATTCTAAACATAATGAGACCATTTCATTTGGAGCACACAGTTCTGAGGCGAGTTGCATGAGCTTCTAAAATTTGTAGAATTATTTAACGAATTGTTCCCCACTTTCGCTTCATAATGAATTGCAAAAAAGTCAACACAATGCAAAGGTTCATTAACAAAACAATTTCTTTTTTAAAAATCAACTTTTTTTCCTAACTTTCCTACATAATCAACGATGCCAACAAAAGCTCGCTGGACATGACACAAGGGGTTACATAAATGTAAGAATCACAGAAGCTAGAGAACATCTTTAATTAATCTTAGATCGGCTTGTGAAATTTCAGTTCCCGCAAACCTTGTCATACCAAGATACCAAAAATTAAAACGTGAAATCTATCCAATCAAACAATCCCAAAAAGAAATCACTTTATCAAGAATTGTTGCTTTCTCATCAGGTGAAACGATTCGTTTCTTGAGAAATTCACCACGCTGAAATAGCTCTTGCCAATAAACTTCTGGCACCATTTTGTAAACCAATTTCTGGAGTGTATCATCACGTACAAAAGCATCAGAAAGATCTCTGCCGAATGATGCGGCACACTTTGTACAGTGGTACACTTCGGTTTTTTCGATATTATTCAACAAACAAGCTCGACAGTCTGAAATTACGTAGCATATTGTATTATACAAAATAAATTTTCAGATATTTTATGAATATCGATGATAAAACTAACTCAGAATTTTAATAAAAAGTACAACATTTAGACCACTAATTCTAGTGTAACTTTAACTTGGAATTAATCTGAGGGAAAGAAACTGAATTATTAGAACAAAATACATTTTAAAAAAAAGTTGAAAATCTCTATGGAACGGATGTTCGAGCAAACAGAGTAGCGCAACCTATCAATATGAAGGAGTAAATGAAAAAGAAAAAATGAGTGAAAACGATAAAATGTGAAAAGTGAAGAGAAATGGGAAAATGAGCAACTAACAGGAGTGAAGACATTCGGTAAGTGTCACCGCATCAATCAAATACGATTTGCACAACGAACAACATAAATTCTCGTTCAGATCTGCTCCATGAATGTCTTTCATAACTGAAAATTAATTTACAAATCAGTGATTAAAAATTATTTCACATTAGGAGAACGGTTCTAGTTACTAAACGTCGTCGCACAGCAAAACCTAATCATTTGTTCGATACATCATATTCTATGAAAAGATAACTGTTAACCTTGATCACCAGAAAATTCGAGAAAGAGAAAATGGAATAAGACAAAAAAGAAAAAGAAAGTTAACAAATGACTAAGTTTCTTGGAAGTCTCTGAAATTACTAATTTTTCTTTTTAAATATATTTAAATCACACCTACTTCGTGAAATTTGATGAAATCTTTATGTCGCTGTAGAATAATAAGTCAAATAACTATTTTAGCCTTATTTACTTACTACAATTTTTTATGGTTATTACCATACTTTATTAATATTACCTGCTTTGTATGAAATCTGAGTAACATCTCAAGCGAGAATTTCACATCTGACACTGCCGTATCATTCAAGCTCATATGATACTCACCGAAGGCAGTGTCAATTTTACATCTTCATATAATCGATCTTTAAGATGCAGAATGTATGAGTAATCTAAACCAAAGTTCTAGTATTCGAAACACAAGTCTCAAACCTGGAATAATAATAGGGATCGGAAACAAACAGCAAATGCACATTTCAGTTCAGTTCCAAATATATGGATGGCGTTCTTCTCTTGTAAAACAGTTAATCAGAAAGAGGTGAGGCAACAGAAAGTTTATGATATAATGTTTAATAATTACATTTTTTCCTTCATCGGTTGCAAAATTTGCAAAAACCTTCCGCTTTATAAAAACTGATACTAAATGCAAGACAATAGTGCATTGGAAAATTTCCGTAGAAGATAATAAATCAAACAGAAAATATATTACTTGCTCTTTGAACTGTTTCCTTCTTACATCCAATAATTAAATTTTTCTTACTAAACTTCAACAAAAAATCCAAACCAATCAAATGTTAACAAACAGATAAAGACAGGAATATACGTTATAACTGGAAATATTGCTGCAGAAAATAGCTTTTCAGCGTTATTGTTACTTTTCTAAATGAAATCGCCTTACCATGACACTCATGAAAAGGAAAGGGAAAGCTTCACTGAATTTGAAGGATATCAAATGCTTTTCTTCTTAACTTTATAAGAAAGCTCACATAGAAAAAATGACTATGTAATGATCAATGATTACGCGACCTGAGACCCAAACAGCACTCTCGACCAGCCAACAGTCATCGACCGATTAGCAAATTAAAATTTATGTCAGTGCAAAACGACATTTTCCATTGATAGCCAAGCGCACTTGGCAATTTACAGTTGAAATATTCATTCGCCTTCTAACTAATCAATAATCGCCTCCATAAGATTCAAAAAGGCTATAGCAAGTAATTAGGACAAAACGTATTGTGACAAGAAGGCAACCTTAGCAGTCGTTAAGCAGATAACCTATGTGTAATACCTGAAGCACACGTCCTAAGCCTTATTTATTAGGAAGAATGATTTCAATTTTACCAGGAAAAATGTTCTACTCACTGTAATCGAATTATTCATTGTAACAGAAAATGAAAAGGTTCCTGTCTGACATAATGAATAAAAATGTGTGTGACAATCCCTAAGATGACAGTGTATCTGAAATATTGCACTAATTATGAGCTTAAACTTCGACAAGATTAGTGAAAAGCGAACTTGACGATAATGATAAGAACACTTCTCAGATTATAAACTAATAATGATATCAAAGCAAAATGCATCATAGAGATTTTTCAGCAACGGAAGATGAGCGACGATGGAACTAATAACTGGAAAGTTAAATTTAAATGACAAACAAAAATTCAACATTACTAGTTGGATCGTTGACACCTCTTCAAATTTTGCAGATTCCTCATCAATGTTTGCTAAGAGCAGATGCAGAAAATGAGCACATGCATTTAAGGGAGTGTATAATTAACACGTGTTATAAATTTCCTATACTAAAATCTAAAGAGAAGAAACTGTGTATAGTTTTCAAAGCACAAATTATACGTAAACTATACACTGTGTAAGTTTTAGGCTTGTAGAGTAAATCAAACTAGGATAAGCCTTAAATAAGCAAGTGGAGTCAGAAATAACCTTCGGAAAATACAAATGAAGGAATGGATTAAGGAAATGAGTCAAAAATTGAGTGGAATTATCATTGTATCAGTGATGGCGCAAATGTACTTTAACTAGGTTATACATGTCGTTCAACACAAGCTTAAGATATTAACTTGTAACTATCAGCAAGCTCGCTTCAATCCGCAGCAGCTAATTGAAATTAATAGATAGGATTTTAATTGTGACAATCAAACAGCAAAATTTTCATTCATGTGCAAACATGCTTTGACACTTCTCAGCTATAAGTACTATGACGGGGTGAACAGATCAAATATCAAAGCACAAAATTACAGAAATAGCAATAGAAATGTTAGAAATGAAGTCCAAAACTGTTATAAAGCAACAAAATTATTTAAACAGTTATTTTTCTCATTCAATTTGATGTGATTTCTATGGTTTTGAAGACAAATGCAACAGTTTTTGATTGTTCGTTACACTAAAGCAACCTAATCCTTAAAGAAATCGTGGACATCGTACTACCATTTACAGTTTTCACTAACCTTTAATTACTCAATTACATGATCAATTTAACTTGTGAAAAATCTCAATGTTCTCCCTTCCATGAAACTTTCACAGTGTTACTTCACCTATTTTATTTAGGAAAGACGGTTCGATCATTCATTCATCACATATTGAAATCAGCCGAAAATGAAAGGATACTCTATATTGCACCGCATCATACGCTTATTTAGTATTGCATTGGTATTATCAAATCAGCAGGACAACTTAAAAGATGAAATATGACCTGAAAATAGGAGGACAAGGGCTCTGGCTGTAGCCTAACACTGAGATGATAACGAGTGGCTGATAGGACTGAGGAGTGGAGTAAAGCCCTGGAGGGAATGCTATAGCCAAATAAGAGAACAGACGCATAAGTGATGGATCAGTTCTGCTCGACCTGAAGAGAATGAGAGAATTGCGTGTGTGTGTGTGTGTGTGTGTGTTGTCATTCAGTACAATGTGCACCCCTCTCCGCTGCCCCCACGCGCCCAACGGACCTATATCGTCAAATCTGTCCGTTGCTGTTTAAGCTGCCCAGTAGTTGCCTGCAAGACACTATTTCGGGAACAAATAACCCACACAAATAATCATACTGCAAACGAATCGGGATGACAACGAAAAAACACGCCATCACCACATGAAGAGAAAGAAGACCAAAGATTTCTGATGCTTTTGGAAGGGAAACTACCACATACATACATACACGCAGAAAGGAAAGAAGAGGATAGGAGGGCAAGGAAAGAAGCGGGGGCAGCGGGGATGCAGGGATTGCACCTGATTTCACTTTGACAGTGCTGCTGCAAGAGAGGATGAAGAATGGCCGTAGCGTCCTGCAGCTGCAGCAACGAAAAGCTAACACGTGGTGAAAGATGATGCAGGTGGGTGGGTAAGACTGAGGGAAGAAAGGAAGGACTTATGGTAAGTGGGGCGGGAGGGGCGACAGACCCCGAAGAATCGTGCAATAGACCGGTGTGTTACGTTACCTTGCAGTACAGACACCCATGCACTCGTCCTAAACATGGAGAGTTGAGAGGAGGAGGGGCGAATCAATGGGGAGAGACTGAGAGTACAAGATGAGAGGGCCTTTTCAAAAATTAGAAATTTGTGAAAATCTGTTGGGAGTACAAAGAGGAAGAAGGATAGAATGTACGCAGTGGAGCGTATGAAAAAAGAGCCAAGTGAGAAAGTTTTTTAGTGTAGAAGAATGGACAGATAGCATAACGCCATACTTATCCTTGGGTAATTATGCCCACCTGCACTCCGGTAAATACTCCATCTTTTCCTATCCTGATTTTCCCAACCATTCATAATTCTATATATTTGCAATAAACGACAAAAGGAACCGAACACTTCTCATTTTAACTCCTTTACAAAATGCGATTCCCATCTCTTCCATTCAATTTCAGTGAGAATACCCACCGTATGCTACTCTCCGGAAAACAAGTTTGAAGAATATAGTAGCTAAATGAGTGATTTCTGGAAAAGTGCAATGAATACTAAAGATGGATTGTCAGCAGTTTGTGATAGTTTTTGTCTTTATCTAGTTCTAGTGTCACCTTTCCTAAAAGCGTGTGTCAGCCATTTCCCACAAACATATTCTTAACGCGTAGGTTAGTTATGTGAAGTGACATCTCAATTCGTCAGTGAAACAAATTTAAGTTAACGAAGGGAATACGAGGTCTTTCGAGCTTATTTCCCCTAGGCCTACCCATCTACTCATTCATTTACCCACTTATTTACCCCACATCAAAATGCCATTCACTATAGTAATAGCATAGCACCAGCACCAGCAACAACAGCAGCAGCAACAGCAGCAGCAGCAGCAGCAGCAACAACAATAACAACAACAACAACGCTATACCATGCCATGGCGTAGAGGCGGGGCATACAACCACGCCTTCCTCTCCCTTCCCTAACTCCCAACTCACGCAGCCAATCACAATACGTCTCCCTTCTCCCATACTATAGTCTGCAGACAACGATACACTGTAGCTCAAACCATTGAGTCCTCCTCTATCTATCGATTGATGCTTATCTATTTCTCTATGTACGTCTCTCTATCTATGTATGCTACGTATGTGTCTGTGTCTGTATCAAAGCAAGCGGACACCACGTCTGTCCGTTTCGGTTAGAAATGCATGTCAGTCTGCATTTTGATGTGTGTGTGCAGCACTCATGGGGCCTTATCTAGAGAATATGTTCACCACTTCATCCTCCATAATATGCCTGTCCGATTGGCCCACATACACACACACACACACGCATACAGATATATGTTTGTGCATTTATAGATATGTACACGTAACACTCACGTACAGACGTAAACACGAACACGCGCTCACTACATGTATTAGTGAGCCATGTGCTATGGTTTACAGTAATGTGACATATGAGCAAGTAAGGCCAGAAGAGTAGGTAAACAGCATTTTTCGACATGTGCAGTGAAGGAATTCGATTCACGGAATTTCCAGAGGGATCACGACGAGACCGGAATGGGGAATGGTTACAACGGGCTTTCGTGCGGGCAAAATAGTGGGTAATCTGCGATTTCGGGCAGAGCGAGTCGAGCAAGAAATCAACGACACATTCCTTTCCACCCCACCAAATGAATCCGTCCCTTCGACACTGTATGCACAAGCCTGCCTGTCTCTCTGCATGTCTGTGTGTGTCTGCGAATGTGTGTAGTGTCTATGCATGTATGTATTGTGTATGTGCAAATGGAGCACGGAGCTCGTTGGGGGCGTCGACTAACAAGGAACGGCACTACCCGCAATGCCTGCCCATCCATTGTTCGTCTTCGACACATGATCACTCTCCTTCTCTGGTAGCTCTTAGCATGCCCATCCTCTCTCGCTAAGTTGAAAAATACATTTAAATGAATTTAGGATGAGGATTCTGCACAGGCATGTGTCCTCGTTGCTAAGAAGACGTCCTTCTTTTTTCCTTTTTTCTCTCAACCTACCCGAGATCTGGGTATCTCCTGTCGAGAATATCTACCACAAACAATCCTCTTCATCCACACCAACACACAAGCGTACACACAAACATACACACACTCATTGACCCACATTCTACCCCCTTGCACTCATTCACTCGTTATCGGCCGAATACGGTAGCATTCGATTACCACTAATGCTAGGTTACTTGTGCTCTAAGCACAATTTCAGTGACGACAATAATTAGTAGCACCTCTATGCGACAGCAGAAATGAAACAAGGAGATGGGAAGTATTCAGGAAAGCAAACTTGCAAGTGGACAGCACTCCCACGGCAGGGGAGTGGAAGAATGCACGGCAGCGAATGTTTAGATAATAGCGCAAGTGCAGCGTGGACCAACCATTCTAGCAATCTACCGACAGTCGTCCTTTGTTGCTGATGTATCTGTCAACGTGACCTTCCAACACTAACAGTTTTTGGTTGGAAATAGAAACATTTCGGGCTAACGTCGAAATTCATTTTGATTAAAATATTAAAAAATTTACTTAAACTGTACTTTGACTATTTATCTTAAGTAGATCAAACGATTGATCTTGTCATCACTTATATCAAATCGTAATTTCTTTCTGAGCATAAAAATAATCTATCAATCCGAATAGAGTCACAATGGACTAACACTACTTGCTGTTACTGACTTCTAAAAATAATTATCATTGCGATACTGCTTTATGAAACAGATGGAATATTGAAAAGCGGATTAAGGACAAGAGGAAGTAGTAACATAAGTGTCTCTGCTATACAGAGATATTTATCTTAAATGAACTTTCATTGTCATCAACTATAAGTGAGCGATCAACGATTTCTCCCGTTGATTTACAAAACCAAATTTCAGAAACTTTTCCAGTGATTATGTCGTAAGAGGTACATCATTTTTCTGGCTTTTGGTTAGGATTTCCATTTCAAATCATTATGAAAATCGAAGAATTAATTTATTCATTGAATATTTATTAGTGGGAAGAAATTTGCTGTTTAACCATTTTTTGGAATCGGACAAAAGATTGCTTCAAAACTCCTATCCTACGCCACTTCACAATATTTCTAAAAAGATTCCCAAAACTGATGGCCACAATTTTACAACATGATATTACCATCTTCCAATAAAAGACTTATTTAGTTCATTTCGTATGTCAAAACAAAATGCGTTTGGAAATTTTGACAAAAAGAAGGGAAATAAATGGATTAATGTATCTAGTCACTGAATGTCTAATAAAACTAATTTCACACTTGATCATGCATTAAGTGGCCATTGTACGGGAAATTGTTGGCATCAGAAAATATGAGGAAGCACTGACATTTCGGTAGATTGATTTTGTTACTTTATCTTACAAAAACGAATAAATTTAAAAGAAAAGTGCTAAATTTTTTTTTTTTTTTTTTTTATTGAGTATTTAGAATATTTCACACTATGATAACCTAAAATGGGAAGAAATATTTGTGTTTTTCTGCCTCAATATTTTTAAAAAGGCGATAAATACACGCTGCAAGCATTAACTCTTGAAATTCCTTTTTTTTTTTTTTAAAAAAAAAAAAAGAAAGAAAGAAAAGGGGAATCTGAAAGCGAAATTATGAACTGAATTTGAATTTAAATTAAAGGGACGTTGAAATTAGGACAACAACGAAATCAAGACATCGAAAAGGAAAACAGATGTATTTTAATGTATGTGTATTTCTAATTTTGTATTTTTAAAGTTTTTCAAAGCTTCGTGAAGTTTCAGCTTCTCATTTTTTTTTCTGTCTTAGTTTTCTTATTTTTGATAAAATATGACCAATGCGATTTTAACATATCTTTTAATGATGTAGTCCGGTTATGATTTATAATATAAGCTTCAATTCCTCAGAATGATTAAAACTGAACAAATCAGATAAATGCATACAATTCCGCATACATTTCAATAATCAGGAATGTTTAACTTAATAACTCTAACTTATAACATGTAACTAAGTTTTGATTACTGACTTATATTATAAATCATATCTAGCATAATACCTTTCTTAAAATCTCAGGATATTTCAATAAGTCCATATTTTATATTTTAGATGCTGGCCACGAAAACCTTCTCGGCAATTACAAAGGTGAAAACTATAGTTAGAAAATTGAGATTTTCAAGTAATTTTCCATATTATCATGCATTCAGGTATGAGTAATTAGGAAGGATACAAAAAATTTACACGGCATCTGCCTTGTACAGTTTTCAGTGTGAATCACCAATCCGATTAAAAAATTATAAATCACCAAATCCGAAATTCGAGAAGTCCAGAACTCCTTTTGCTTTACTCAAAATATAATCAAGAATATAAATTATTTGTCAGCCTACTGTAATTTGCCGGTACGATAATTTTTAGTTTTCACTCTCCAGATAATTTGGCAAAATTATGTAATCTAATGTCTGGACAAAGATGTCTTAAACTTTCTATTTTCACCTGTTGCAAAGCAAATCCAGTTTTACCGAAAACAGGTTGCACATGGCATAATTTCTTCACAATTACCATACACGTTGCTATTTTGCAATTCTCAAAGTTACTCTGAAGATACGACATAAAACTAATTCTATAATTAATAGAAAAACATTCTCGACTTGATATGCAAGGTATATTCTTCCTGCCATATTGTCTTTACAACCCCAATTATAAAAGTTATCTTGACAGCTGATGAATAATATCCAATTTGAATTTTGGTAACTTCTCATAACATAACTTTTCAGCCAAATTGTTTAAAGTTTTCTAGATCTTGTGATAATTCTAAAAAGAGATGAAAAATAGACATATGCATAAATTAATAAGCAATCTGTTGCAAGTTGATCGTTGAGGACGTTCATCTCGTTTCAAGAAAAACGATAACATTAAACTTGGCTTCAACGTGTCCATGAATATAACGTTTATTGACCTTATTGGATTGTATGTTAGTGGGTGATTGTTAAGCAGCAATCATGCATGCTCTTCGTGCATCACATATTTTCAGCTCTTGAAATGTTGGTTGGGACATTTCGATAAGTTCCATTGCTTTTAATTGTTGCTTCTGATATTGAACCGCTTAATTTTTCCCTTTTTTTATTTTTAGAAGATTCATTTCCCGAAGAAAATGTCTGCAAAGAATTCATTGCATAATGATGCAATCTGCATGCTATGTGCAGCGTGCTGTTTGCTACTACTTGTACGAGTCGTTCATCCAAATATATGGATGTGTCTGCATTTGTCTATAACCATTCATTATGTCCTTGTACATAATGCTAGAGGAAAGAAGGTGTAACCAGTCAGGCGCTTCTTGTCCACTGATCTGTTTGCTCATCTGCTAATGGTCTTTGTCCACAAATAAGCGCTAACCACTCCATTCTATTTTGCTAAGCTAAGCACTGAAATTAGCCACAGAGATGGCCTCTTTTACAGCTGTCGAGGCGTCAATGCAGCTTTGTTCAAAGAACTGACAATTGATTGCGCTGTTAATTACCGCCGCCTTCATTGCCACAATGCTAATTATTTTTACAGTAATTGGGAGAGGACTGAATCAGTACCAAGTTATGATGGCATGCTGAAGACCACCTCCTACATGTCATCATTGTCCCATTGCGCCCACTGTCGGCTCCTTTGCGGCAATATTTCTTAAAACATCTATTCACACTTCCAAATATCATTCCACTGATAAAAATCGCTCCCGAAATAATCCAACCTTTGTCATCTCTTTTATTCTATTCCATTCTGTTTCTATTCTATCCTCCCTTACTTGACTATTTCATTTCACTCTATATTCACCCTTTCCTCTCTTTTCTCTGTTATGCTCTTTCTTCCATTCTATTTCTTTATATCGTATCCCATACCATCATAAAATATGAAATAGTTGAAACCCATCAAGTCACAGCAGATCTCACTTCAACACATAATTACGACTTCAATAACCTCAACGGCATTGATCTGAGTATGGAAAACCGGTTACTGCTTTCAGTGCATATTGTAACGCCGTGTACAATTCTCGTTAGATTCTTCTCCTTCCCTTATTGTTCAATTAATTAAAATTAATTTCATAGTCAACAGAAGAAATTCAGGAAAACATTTCTGCATGTCACATTTCTCATTACCATTTGAAAATTTGTCAAAGACCCTAAAGGCCGCTTAAAGAAAGATCATGCGCAAGTCGTACCAGAGAGTTGGTGACAAATTGTCAACGAAGGAATTTCATTTTGCAATGGTTTTCAAATACGTTTTAACAGTGAAAAATTAGCAGTTACAAAAAAAAAAAAAGACCGAAATTATGGCAAAAAAAGGTCAAGATAAATTGAATCTTTGCGCATTCTTTTAAACTATAATGAATAACTTTTTTTCAGGTGACAGGAATTTGGACATTCATTACCGGGCTAGGTCCTAATCACGTCAACTTTTATTGTCACTTAAATTCTAATAGCACTTCGTTATTGCAATTTCAGGTAGCTAAAAATACTACTGGTGAGGAATAATAGGGTATTTGAAAGGCATAGTGTTAAAGTCTGTAACCGTAGCTGTTCAGTGAGTGAGCATTTTCATGAGGACAGTAAATGAGGACTTTTCCAGGCCTTTCCGCCTCATTTCAAACATTCAAAGAGCCATCCTAGTAATCTCTTCACCACCATACTGCAAGCAGTGAAGGAGAGCGGCTGTTCAAGTGCTACTTGCAGGCAGTTAACAAACGGGCTGATTACTACTACTTTTACTACTACTGCTATTACTACTACTACTACTGCTATTACTACTACTTCTACTACTATACTATTACTACTACTACTACTACTGCTACTACTACGACTACTACCGCTGCAATTACAACTGCAGTGAATGCTGGCAT